CGAGCAAAGGGTTTCACCACCCTCTAAGGGGCCTGTGGATATTTTCAATGAGGTCCATGAAAGGCATCTGAGTAGAGCCCAACTGCTATTTTTCACCTTGAAACCACTTCCCACTGCCTTATGTTTTTGGTTGAAAATCATCTGAAAACGATGAACACCCCTATCCCCCTTCTGCAGCTTGAGTTTTCCCTTCTCCCCCTCTTTGGCTCTTCTGTAAATAAAAATGAACTTCATTGATTTTATTTCAGTAACGGAGAAATAATTTGCCTTTGGCCTGAGCTCACAGGATGCTAAACTCCATCCAGGAGTGTGGGTTTGAGTTTTTTTTCCTCCTTTTATAGCGTTTCTGATCTGTGTTTATGATGCCAGCGTTGACACATCCTAAACTACAGCGTGGCTATAACCTCCGGAAAAACTCCCGGCGGGATTGAAATAGTGGCTGGCAAATGTTCCCTCCTCGCTGGAGCTTGTGAATCAAAAACCATCAACGGTTTAAGCAAAGGCTTGTGCCGGGGAGGGAGAACTTATGCTGGAGTCAATGCATATTTTATCACCACGCTTATTCACTCGCAGCCCTTCTCCCTTCAAACGCTGCGCGGGTTTTAATTAAATAGTCATTGCCGAGACTGTTATTCTAGCTTGGAAGGCCTCCAAATGGCCATGTTTTTTCCCCAAAATGATTACAAGGGGATGTGTTCCCACCCCCACCCCTCCACCCCCCGTCCTCGCCAAGGTTCGTCTTCTGCAAATACCGCTAATTATGTTTGTCTGGCCGGCCGCCGGCTCTGCGATAGCATCTTTCATTAGCACTGACCTCTCCGCACTCACAAGGAGCTGGCTGATGTTCCCGGAGTGGTGCCTTGCAGATGTTGCCAAGAAATGTCCCTTTGGCACCATGCAAGCAGGTCTAGGTCTTGCAAGCGATGGTGTCGTGTTCAGCCCACGTTCGTTAGAGTCTGCTTGCAAACGAGGTTATGAAGCTTGGGTGTGGCTAGTTGTCTACGCAACTGGATTGCTCCTGGTTGCAAACCAAAGCTGAGAAAGGCTGAGGTTTGTGCCTCCAGGATTTGTCTACCAAGGGGTTGCTGGTGGCCATGGTGGTCAGTTTGGGTTGGGTGCATGAGGGGTGAAGAAATGAGTGGGAGAGGACAGGACATCTCTCCTTGGCTTTAAATATCTCATGGAGGATCTCCTGATGGCAATGCAACCCATAACAGCATAGATGTTGCTGTAGGCAACTCTCTACAGGGTCTAGGAAAAACCACAGCTGGAGGTTGAGAGGTCCCACCTCCCTTACCAGCACCTCGAGATGCTGTGATGCGTCTTTCCCTTCTCCTGGCTTTAAATTCCCACCTGACTCCTCAACCACAGACACGAGTTTGCTCCCGCTTGTCAGGAGCAAGATACTTAATTTGTCAGTTCGCTACGCTTAATATTTCTTTCATGTATCGTGTCGGTTTTAAATGCAAAACACGTCTGGATAAGCTCACTTTTTTGCTTTTTGTTTTTTTTTTTTCACCCTGTTGTAGCCGACACATTGAAGGTAGTCGTGTTTAACTAATAAAAAAGATTTTAAAATGCTGGTTTTGCACTTCTTTGTAATTGACTTCCAATTTCCATTCACATGCAGCCTGGCACATTGCAAAGGGAAAAAAGAGCGCCGAGCAAATAAGAAATGCGTCACTTGCTGGTTTTTTACCATAATCAAAAATGTAAAAATTAAGAATTTGAATCAATGTACATTAAACTATGTAATTGCTTAAATAAACGTGGCGGGGGTAGATAATGGGTGTTCCTGATTAGAAGAAAATACTGAATTTAGTGCAAACGTTATATTTAGTTGCAAAGTGGCATGGTTTAGCAATTGCACCCTTCTTTTGGGGGAAAAACCAGGCAGGGAGGCTCAGAAGGCAGCGATGGGTTCGGGTGCTGGTGATGAAGGATCTCTCTGCTGGAGACCACCCTTGGTGGTACCCTTGAGGGAGTTACAGGGATGGAAGAATTGCTAGTGGATGGTGGAAACTGGTTTCCCCAGCTCTCACGAGCCTGGTGGTGGTTGTGTTTTCTCTTCCAGCACGCAGTCCTGGCAGGCCCTGACCCAGTGAAGGTCCTGGCTTGCAGCGACCGGTCTTGCAGCAAGGGAAGAGGCTTCCAAGAGCACGACCTTCCAGGTAAACCCCCAGCCCAGCTGAGCTTATTGTGGCCTCTTGATATTTATCATTACTTGAACTTGCTCGAGGTGGTTTGTAGCTCCATGGGGCACACTGTGGAGTTTTATTAGGATGCACTGTGTGCCTCCCAACCCTTTTCCCTGTAAATTGTGGCAGCTTTGCTGATCCAATCGGTGAAAATAAATAATAACCCAATGCCACAAGCTGCACCGAAACTGCTTGATAGTCTTACGGTTATCCCGGGAGCTGCAAGCCCACGGTTTGAAGCTGCTGCCCATCAGCAGAAACACAGAGGTGGCTGTCCGGCAATGTTGGAAATAGCGGCTGGGACCCAGTGGTGGTGGCAGGAGTCAGCTGGTGACGCTGCTGTTGTCACTGTGCCTGCCAGCCTTCCAAAGGCTCCTCCCATGCCCCAGTATGTGGAAGCAAAAAAAAAAAAAAAAAAAAAAATCATCCAGGTCTGAGTATCGGTTTGCATTTGTCCTTTCCCCTTTTCTTTCTCTTAACCCCAGCCAAAAGTCATTTTGCCATCAACCACGGGATCGCTGCGTGCTTTTTGCTCCAAACTTGGTTGTCCTTCCTGTGCAGTGCTCTGGCACGGGATGTCCCCAGCACTTTTAATCTCCAAAGTGCCTCCCCAGGCGAATCGTGTTAATATTGGAGAGTGCAGGAGCGGGGGGTTTAGGGGACATGGTGGTGCTGGATTAATGGTTGGACTTGATGATCTTGAAGGTCCTTTCCAACCTAGTGATTCTGTGATTCTGTGAGAGCAGCCCACCCTCGGTCGTTGTTATCCGTTGCTCACTGTCACGCTGGGGAATGAGGAAAAGCTGCTGGGTTTTGAGGTTGCAGCCTGGCAGCAAGGAGTTAAAGGAAAGGTGAAATATTAAGCGGAAGCAAAGAGGCACCACGAGAAGGGCAGGATCCCAGGAAAGCTTTTCTGGAGATGAAAATAAAAAGCTGTCACCTGGAAGGGCTCCAGCTGCCCAGCTCCCACCCAGCCAGCACGTCCTCTTCTCCCCAGCGCCCGTCCTACTGTGGCAGGGATGCTGAAGGGCACGAAGCCGGGATGCTGATGGGGACAAGGGGCTTTTGCAGGTTGCAAAGGGGCTGGGCTGCTCTGGTGAAGCTGGATTTTACCCGGGTTTTGCTGGGGGAGAAGTAGAAATGTGTTGCAGGGTGCATGAGCCCATCTTGTTGAGCTTGTGGCTCTGAGCGCTTGCTAGGGAGGTAGCTAAGTAACAAGGAGTTAAATGATAACGATAATACTGAGTTTTTTTGACTCATAAGGTTTACCAGCCCAAACAGCCCAGCATGTCTCTATGCTGCAGCCCCGGCACATCATCGGTGGGGTGGTCCTCCTAGAGTAGGAAGAGGTAGCCCCAGGAAGGTGGAAGAGGCTGGACCATGGCAGCTTTTAGCAAAGGGGAGGGTGCATCACCCACCCTCTACCAGCAGAAGCAATGTGCTATGGCTAATAAGCAAACATCAGAGGCAGGGTTAATTAATGCAGCCTCCCAAGGTCTCCTAACACAGGTGGGTGCCACTGACCTTCGTAGGAAGCCCTTGAAGGCAGAAACGCGAGGCCTCCAGGCAGTTACCTAGAGAAGTAATAAATACTTTTGGGAGCACTTTAAGAGAACGTTAACCTAAGCTCTCCTAAACCACCATGAGCAGCAAGGCGTAAATGGTGATACCATGGGCTGCACCAGCACCATCTCTTACCTCTGGGTGCTTCAAGCACTTCCATGACTTTGCGGTCATGACCCGCTGCCACCAAGGAGGCAGGTACGGGAGGGTTTTGTCTGTCTGGGAGCTGTTTTTGTCCGTCTGGGGCTGACGGATGACGGATGACAAGCTGTTTGAGGGGAAGAAAACGCAATTACCCAAAGTAGGCTTTTGGCAGGACACGGAGATTGCAGAGTGAGGTCGGTGAAACCGAGGGAAAAGGAGATGAAAGACTGGCTGCTCACATCCAGCGCCCTGGTTTGCTTTTGGTTGCTTCCTCAGAGACGTTGTTTGTTCAGTAATTAGCGATGTAAAACATGCATCGGCCTCTTTGTTCCCATTAGGCTTGGCTATGGCTTGAAATGATGCGCAACAGTAGCCTGTGGTTAATTTTACCAAATGTTCACTTTAATTTCATTTAAGACCAGCTGTCTACAAATCTATGGTGCCTATTCACATCGCGTGCATATATATATATATACACAAAAAATTCTGTGCTGAAGAGAAGGTAACAGATAACAAGGCACTGGTAGGAGCAGTGCCCCCTCCGGCCCCCAGCCTCCAACACTGGGGTGATGTGGGCGGTCAAGCCTGAAGGCTCCATGTTGGCTTGATGCCAATGGGGCTGACCTTTTGGGTGATGCCTCCTTAGGGATCCTTGCTGTGTTCTTCCACCCTAAAATCCCCCGTGTGTTACGTGTCCAGATCAATATTAAACACCTGGTGTGTAAAGCAGCTACGTACTGGGCAGTGCATAACTGGGAGCCTGCAATAAGCTGTGGTTTATTTGCATCTGAGCAAGCACGCCTATGTTTAAATATCTCTAAGCAAACAGGTCCACCCAGCTCCTGCTTTGCTCTTCCTTGTGTCTTCAAGGCTGCGTTCACTGGCAGCATCCAAGGTCAGTTTGTCTCCTTCCTTACTTATGGAGACTGGTGTGATGCCTGCTTGATTGTAGTAGGCATGGGTAACATTGCCCTGGTAGTGTTGGCCCCCCGCTACGTGGTGCAATGTGGGCTCGTGGCTTCTTCTACCAGCTTTCACCCATCATGTCACGTCTGAGCCACCACCACTGTAGCGTGAGACCCCAGCATGGACCCCTCAAACCTGCGTTTGTGCCATTCCTTCCTCTGGCAGCACCAGGACGGCTGGGAGGAGGCTGCCACAGGGTGATGGGAAGGGCGGTAGATCCTTGGTCCCAAAGCGTGGTGAGATGTAGTCGGCCAAGAAGCGTATGTGGAAGTGCTGGCCAACACAGTGGACCAGGCTGCCCACGACGGCACACTGGAAGCTGGATGGGTTGGGTGTGGCATAGGCAGCACACTTATACCACAGTTTGGCCTTGGCACTGCAGCGGTAGACGTCGATGCCTGAGCTGCGGTGGAGGTCAAAGCGGTAGATGAAGCCATTGGCACTGACCAACTCGGCCGTCCTGTCCTTGCTGCCGCCAGCTGGGCTGACCCTCCAGCTGTCTGAGCGGGCAGTGTAACACAGCAGAACGTAGCGCAAGGTACCCCCCGTCACGTAGATCTCCCCATCGCACACTGTGGCCGTGTGGGCCACAGCGAAGGTGTCGTGGGGCAGAGGTGCGGTGAAGGTCCAGCGGTCCTGCCGGGGGTCGTAGCGCTCCACCGTGTAGAGGCACTCACCACCAATAGCGTAGAGGTGGCCGTCCAAGGCCACAAGCTTGCAGTGCGGCCGCGCTTGGTTCAGGGGGCAGATCTCCCTCCAGATGTTGGTCAGGGGGTCATAGCAGAAGACACGGTTGGAGGGTCTCTGCATCCGGCCCGTGCCCTTACAGCCGGCCACCACAAAGAGGTAGTTGAACATGCTGCACACGGCGCACCCCTGGGAGACCACCTCTGGTGGTACATGGCAGAGGTGATGCCAGCAGTCCCCTCTGTCATCGTAGTAGCAGAGGCGGCTAGCACGGAGGTCAGGCTCCTGCACGTTGATGTCTGCCACGGCCACGTACATCTTCCCCTTCATCCTTTGCTGCAGGATGCGGTCTCGCTCACCAGCATTGAGGCGGCCGTAGATGGAGGACGTCCTCAGCACCTGCAGGTAGTTGTCGCTCATCACCTTGTAGGCGGCCTCCTGGAGGTGTCCGAGCTTCTGCGCCTTGGCTGTGCAGAGGACCTCGTAGCAGTTCCCCAAGTCCAGGTGGGTGCGTGGTGGCATTTGGAAGAGGTCAGCATTGGCCACCAGCCCTGACTGGGGTTTTGCAGGTGGCATTCCAGCTGGCGCCGTAACCCCAAAACGCTCTATGGGCAGCTGGAGGTGGGGGCTGTCAGCAATCTGGAGGATGCTGTCTTTGTGGCAAGGAGATGGTGGCTCAGGTGAGATCTCCAAGCTCCCCATAGGTGGTGGGACTATGGAGGAGGTGGTGGGATCCTGTGTTGCTGAAGTGGGGTCTGGCTCCTGAGTTGCAAAGCTCTGTAGCTCTTCATTGACCTGCTCTGAGTTGCAGTGCCAGGATGTTCCCAGAGGGATGTAGGGGAGACACCTCCTCTTTGACACCGACTGGGAGATGGACTGGATGTAGTAGTCGTAGACTTTGCCTTTGAGGCTGTGGCCGGCCTGCCCAGCCCCATCTTTTGCCCGCCGCTTGGTGATGTAGTTCTCCACCTGGATCTTGGTGACCGAGGAGAAAGAGTAGGAGGCATCTGACTCCACGTTGCTCGCTGTCATCGTTAGCCCCAAGTCTGAGGTGACGCTGTGGGTCTGGATTGTTCCCCCACACCCCTCAGTTTTCTGTCTCATGCCTCCACTGGCCAAATCCTGCTCCGTGCTTTGGGCGCATCTGTCACCCGCCATCTGGGCAGTAGCAATACCGGGAGAAAGCCCGGCGCCTGGGGCAAGGGTGCCCTCCTCCTCATGGCTGCTCAGTGTTTCAGCCATGTCCCCAGGGTCATAAGAGCTCATCTCGCTTCCTGGCTTGCTTGCCAACTTACTTCCCAGCTCACTTCCTAGCACACTTCCCGGCTCGCTTCCTGGCTTGCTTGCCAGCTCGCTTCCCGACTCAATTCCTGGCTTACTTCCCAGCTTGCTTCCCAACTGACTTCCAAGATCGCTTCCCCTCCTGGCCATCCCCACTATCCTGCAAGTCAGACCCAGTTCAGAAACCATCTCTTTGCCTTCTTCCTCCTCCTCCTCACCCCTTGGCAGACTTTGATCCTCCCGGAGAGGTATGCGCCGTGTCCCAGGGACACTTGCTTGACCGTTCCCTTGTCCATCCCCACCATCCCTCCTCACCTCCTCACCAAACACTCTCCTCCGTCGCAGACTCACCACACCGTCCCCGTCCCCATCCCAGGCAGCGTTATCCCTCTGCTCTCCTCCCACATCAGCCGGCGGGATTTTGCCCCCAGCAAGCGAGCGGGACTTATAAAACCTGTATGCCAAAGTCAGGAGGAGCAGAGCCGTGGCGGAGAGGACCAGCTTGCCGGCCAGCTGCATGTCGGACTGCCAGGGCAGGGTTACCCGCTGGGGCATTTTTCCATGCCGGGAATGCAGAGAAGCCGATTAATGATTGTCGAGCGAGCCCAGAGCGTGGAGCTGAAGGTTTGGGGCAAGGTGACTTTGAGCGGGCAAAGCTGGCAGGAGGCTTCCGGACAAGCTTTGCATGTTTGGGATGGGCTGGGCTCTGGGGAAAAGGTGCAGCCCAGAGCTGGCGGCACAGAGCCGGCTTTATTAGCCTGGTAAACAGAGAGGCTCAGAGAAAAGCAGAAAGAAGCACAAAGGGAGGAAAAGTATCTCCTCCAAGCAGCCCGATGGTGCTGCCTCCCCGTTTCTTTTGCTGTTTAAAAGGGATCATGCAATGGAAGGGGAAAATAGGCTGGTTCATCTGGGAAAGGGCCCTCGTCCCTGGGTGCAGCCATGGGGAAGGGAGGGAGAAGCAGCCTTGCTGTCAGGCAGACCTTTGGTCCGACGCCGAGCAGCTGCTCTGGGGCAGAGGCGGGTGACTAATTCGGTAGCCTTCATTTGCAGCACGCTGGCTAACGAAGGGATCTCTTTGAGGCCAGCTTGGAAGTCCAGGGAATTAAGAGCCGGTGGAGAAACGAGCCTTTGGGAAGGGGAAAACTGGATGCCAAAGAGCAAATAAAGGTAGGAGCGAAACTGCAGCTGGTGGCCGCGTTCGGAGACCTGCATCCATGTGCACAGGGAGAGGGGTGAACTAAGGAAAGTGAACAAAAGCATTGGGACCGGGAAGAAATTTGGGATGGGAAGAGATGGGACAGGTGCGAGTCATCGTTTCAAAGTGGTGTGCTGCTGCGTGTGGGCTGTCTGCGGGGACTGGAGTTGCTGTGGGGAAACTGAGGCACGGAGGATGCCAGACAGTGTCACACTTGCTTCTTTTTCCCCCTGGAAAGATGTGTCTGGTTCTGATCTGAATTTCAAAGATTTAGGGGAATTGTCGTCCCCATTGTCCCTGAGGCAGCCGGGTCCCCACGCCCGGACCGCGGCGGGACGGGAGAGGAGGGAGCCTGAGGAACGACATCCCTCTGCAACCCCCGCTAAGCGAGCTGAATTCAAAGGGATAAAATTAATTTCCTTTTCCCTGAGGGGAACTTCTCGCATGCTGAGAGATGCATAAAGAAATGAGGCCCTAAGAGGCGGCAAAGAAACAGCCAACATGTGGGTGGGGGTGGGTGGCTGCTCCTGTTCGTATGCAGGTATTCACTCCCCACTAGCTTGGTCCCAATCCGGTGGGATTTGCCCGGAGAAATGAATCCAGGTGATCCTAAAACAACTTGTATGAGGTGTGGGTGTGATGGGTCCCAACTGCATGGCTCATGGGTCCCTGTGGTGGGATGAGGTCTCGCCATGAGTCTTTAATGGGCCTCCCAAACCACCTCCCACGCAGCAGCTGATCTTCACCAGCCGCTGCACAAGCTCGGGCACTGCCTTTTGCAATGGTGAGGGGCGTCTGAACCTCCCTGGGCCACATTCCCCACCATTACCAGCACCTGCAAGCACTGAGATGCTGCTTTTCACCCGATGGCTTCACACGTGGAAGTGCTGAAGGGCACGGGGGTGACTGTATGTCTGCCGTTGGACTTGCCATGGATGCTTGTTAGGTGGAGGACCGTGTGCTAAATAGCATAATATTTATATTTACATATATATATATGTAAAGAGGATGGAAAGGAAGCAGAGGGGTAAACTCTGTACGCTGGCTTGGCAGTCGGGGACCTCTGTGCACATCCCTGCTGCGAATGGGAGAGCCCACCAGCAGTTTTTAGGGGCATGTTTGGGATTGGGAAGCTGTCACCTTGTATGGGTGCAGCGTGGGGAAATGCAGCAATGAAGAGGCTGGGGGAATGGGGATATTTAGATTAAGAGCTGGGCCAATGCATCCTGTTTGGTTGCGTCTCAAGCTTGTGCCAGGGGCCAAAACCACGCCAGCCGCTGCCCTCCACCCTATTTGGCATGGGGACCCAAAATCCATCGCAGGAGGGCTTAGTCAGGCCAAAACCTCGGGGGAGGCATATCCCTCCTGCCTGCAAACCCCGAAGGGACCAAAGGTGAGGACGGAGCTGGGGTAATGGGGAGGTGCATCAGGCTGGGCATGTGTTTCAGGGCTCGGCTAATTGGCAAAGGGTCTGGCCACTCGTGCATGGCCATGACCCTGGCTTTCTTCATCTCTCGCTGCTGTGGTTTTTAATCTGCAGGTAGATCTGCAAAGATCCTTGTGTTCGTGAGCTGAGAAGTATGAATTATGCATGTGTTTGGTGGCCCTGTGAACCCGGCCACGGCAGTAACTGTGCCTGGTAATGAGGTGAGGGAGTCAGGGGAAGCACCGAGCAAAGCCCACCATCGCTCCTGCCAGCATCTCAGCCCCGTCGAGCCGGAGCATCCCTGGTTTTGTGCCCCCCACACTAATATCCCAAAGGGCTGGGAGTTTGGATGTGCTGCATCCTTGAGAGATGCAGGGTTGGGCTGCCAAAACCCCAACTCTGGGTGTGTGCCAGGAGGAGCGTGGTTGTCCTTGTCCTCGGTGGGTTTTTGTGGATCTTGGGAGGGCGAATCACAGAGCGCAGCGGGAGGCGGGGGCATTTTCGGCAGGCAGTGTGCTCTGGGTGCTGTTGCCTTCACCAATGGCAAGATGGGGGGACCAGAGCCCGACTGCCAAGTTTGAGCTGCAGGGGCTGATCGGGAAGGAGGATCCCCGTGGCAAAAATGCAGGTCCGACACATAAATGTGTATTTATCCATAGGGGATGCAGCCGTGGCGTCTCCGAGCGGTGCTGACGTCTCAGCACTTGTGACTCTAATTGGATGTAATTGCCTCCTCCAAATTTTGCTAAAACCTTTTCAAAGTCCCCTGAAATTAGGGAACATCGATAATGCCGCTCCTTGGGGTTTTCAGCTCGCGTCATCCCTAAGAAGCGCGATTAATTTTTTACAAGCTAATCATATCTCTTAGGCAGGTTGTCAGCCGCGGATCTGTCATCTCTCATCAATAATGAAACAACCTGAGCAGCTCTTTCCCCTTCCAGCTTCCTGCATTATTCACTGCCAGGTTCTCAAACAACAGGGTGTGTGGTAGCGGGGAGCCAGGGAGTTAACTGATGTCCTTCGACATCACCTGCAGGAAGGTGGATGGGGTGGCAGGACTGGTAGGTGGTGGGTGAAGGGTGAGGGGGGCAGGAGGTGAAAGGAGGGTCAAGCAAGGCATGGGAGGTTTTCTTTGGACCGTTGCTTTGGTGGGGTGACATCTCTCCGTGTCCCTCGGCTTGGGGGCACCTTGGGAAAGCAGGCAGCACTCTGCCCAAAATGAGGAGAGACTCCCGTGTCCCCTCGGTCATCGCTTTGGCTGTGCTGGTGCTGAGAAGGTCCCATCCTATAGCCTGATCCACCACCATGGGAGAGAGCTAAGCATCCCGAACACACACAGAAGGGTGGATTTGGGATGTGGGACCTCCGAGCCCACTGGTCCTCTCCCAGCCGCTGGAGGGGGAGGTCACGTCGCTCTTGAGATAGCATCAAGGGGAGCTGGTTGACAGTAGCACTGCCTCTCTAGTGCTCCTCATTTCCATGGTTCCGGGACAAAATCGCCACATTTGCATTTAAATGGGGGTTTGGGTGTCTGTAAATCCCCATTTTTGAAGCGAGAAGGCCTAATGGTGTTTTAATCACGTTGGGATGAGGTCCCTGGAGCATGTCCAATCCAGTCAGGAGGGTGAGACGCATCTGCACTGTGGTGGAGGGCTCTCCTGCCTGCTTGGTAGCATGGCGGTTTTTTTAGGGGATTTCCCTAAAAAATAAAGGTTCCCCTAAAAAATAGAGGTTTCCTTTTCACCCAGGAAGGTGCAAGGGGCTGGAGCAGTGAAGGTGGCTGGGGAGAGCGCAGGAAGGGTTCAGGCAGCAGCTCCGAAGGGATCCGGATGCTCGAATGCTGTTGCTTTGGGACGGAAGCGGAGCTGCCGATCCTCCCACATCGCAGCGTGCCCCTGCATTGCTGCCAGCCCCGATGATTGCATATGGGAAGAAACTCCTGAGCCGCCGCGTGTTTGTTCAGCTCCTTTGCGGCTGGGAAATTGCTCGCAGCGAGGTTGGCAGCAGGAGCATGGTAGGGACTGAATCTGCTTAATAATAATTAATCATAATAGTAATAATAATGCTTAGCACTCGTACGGGGCTTTGGAAAGATGAAGCGCTGCACGGCTGCTGGCTAATCCTCTAGGATTAAGGGTTCCTGGAGGAAAAGGCAGGGGAGTGCCCCATCCTCGGGCTCCTCTCCCCGCTGCATCTGCTCCCCAGGGATCCTGGCCTGCAGCTGGATGCTCTCTGGGCACCATGGGGAGGGAAAGCAAGCCGAGCAAACCACTGGCATCTCCCAGCACTGAGCAGGATTGGGGCAAAACCACCTGTTTTTTGCAAAGAGCTGTTCTGCAGCAGGATTAACGTTGTACAGGGATGCTGTGGGAATGGCCAGGATCTGGCCATGCTGCACCGTCATCCGTCCACGGTGGCACTTAGCCAAGAGGGATGGGGAGGGTGGCGTGGACCAAATGTGGGCACAGCGCTTTAAACTCCGCTGATGCCACCGTGCCAGCGCTGCCCGACGGGACGCGTGCTGCCCGCTCATGGGGGAGCGCTGACATTTTGGGCTGGGAGCTGCCTGTTACTAGAGATCGACTGTCCAGCCCGGGACCAGTGCTGTGCATGGCTCCCGTCTCGCAGCAAAGCCGACTTGCCCCAACCAAGGTCCTGGGGTGTAAGGCCAGTGATCCACAGCTTTCGGGCTCCCAGTGCCACCATCAGTGTGTAGGACTCATCCCCAGCGTCTCTCATGCTGAGGACACGTGCGGTCCCTATCCAGGAGAGCCGAGACCTGGAGCAGCTCAGTGCAGTGGACATGGTCTAAATGGATTTTTCCAGGGGAAATCTGGCCCTTGTGTAATAGACAGCCCCCCAAGACCTTGCAAAGCCTCTGGGTACCCCAACTCAAGGCAAAACATTAAGCACAGCCTTCTACTGGGGGAGATTTTTCTTTTTCCTTTTAATTAAATTGTCTGAGGAAGCCAAGACACAGACAGAAAGAGACCGAGACTGTAAATAGTATAGAAAAGAAAAAAAGAGAGCGCGAGAGAACCGCTTGATGGAGGTGTAAATGCCAGGTGGAGCCGTACGGAGGAAGAGGAGGAGGAGGAAGAGGCAGGCAAAGCTTCACGTTAGCTCCAGGATCACTGTAAGGGTGAGTGCCAAAACTAGTCTGAAGCCGCAGTGGCTGGTAAGTGAACCTAGGCAGGAGGAGAAAAGGGATGGGGAGTTTAGGGAGCTGTGTCTCACTGCCTGGGTTCAAAGCAGGATGGGTCACCACCATTTTTGGGTGGCGGGGGATCTCCCTCCTAAACTTGTTATGGAGCTTGTGGGGAGTGGGCAGCAGGTCAGGGATGCTGTAGGGAGAACCCATGGGGCCCCTTTTTGGTGCAAGGACATTCCCGCTGCCAAGGGCAAGGCCTTGGGGCGATGCAAGGAGAGATGCTCTCTGCATGGTCCTTCCCTCCCTGGGGGGGTTCAGGTCAAAATACTGGTGCCACCACCACTCACCGTTGGAGTCCTCTGTTCCTCTGGGAATATTTGGGTTTTCTAATGGGAAAGAAATAGCAGAGAGAGAGTTTTATTGGTGGGGGGAGGAGAGGAGTGAGGCTTTATATGGAGGGAGGAGTGACCGCCACGGTGCTGCCATACCAAAAACGATGAGCCGGGTGTGGGTGTCAGTGGAGCCCAGGGGGTTCTGGGCGGTGCAGCGGTACATGGAACCGTTGAGCTCAGCCGGCACCCGCTCCAGGACCAGCTCCTTGCCGTCGTGCTCGGTGCTACCGTCGAGGAGCCGGCTCCCCACCCGTGTCCAGGTGAAGAGGGGCTCAGGGAAGACTTCATTCTGTGGGGAGATGGGGAGCTGTGAGATGGGTGTAGGGGGTGAGCAAACCCTGGAGCAAGGACGGGGTACAGCCAAAATGCCCAGGGGTGCACCAATCTGGGGACCATGATGCAGCTGAAGGCCACCGACCCAACCACATAAAGTGCCGGCACGGACGCAAGGCTGTCTGTTGGCATGGCATTGCCCCATGGCGTTGGGGATGCTGACCTGGAAACCCTGCACCAAAATCCGCACAGTGTCTCCAACGCGGGCTCTCGTCGGGGTCATTGTGATCTTCGGGCCCTTCGGAGCAACTGCAAGGGAAGGGGACAAGAAGGGACATCAGCTGAGCGAGGGGTTCCCAGTGCCAGTGGGTGCCCTTGGCTGGGTTAGTAATGGTTTGATGAATGACTGTGATGAGGGGGTGGCACAACGTGTGCCAGCTGGCAGAGGGGGCTGATGGCTGGGTGATTGATGGACAGGCTGACGGATGTCCAAATGATTGGTAGACAAGTAGGCAAGGACCCCGCAGGCGGATGAATGGGAAGACTGTGAGGTTGATAGACTGTAATGGGATGCATTGATGGTGAAGGACATATTTCCTAATCAAGCCCCTCTCTGCTCAGAAACAGGGGTCAAGAGTGGTCAGGTTGGTTTGACGCTATGGAGATGGGCACCTCAGAAAAGCACCCCCAGGACATGGTGGCCTTGGTGAGTCATGCAAAAGTGCTGTTAGCATGGGAGACAGCAGCCCCAAAGCCTTGCTGGCACAAAATGCCAAGGACAGCCCTGTAAAGAGGAGGGGACCTCTTTTCCCACGCCAGACTTGGGGTGCCCTTGCCTGATGTGTTGGGGGGGAGAAGTAGTGATGCAGCCAGCCATGGTGAGGTGACACCATGTTGGGTCTGCTCTTTGCTCCCAGCTGGGTCGGGGTTGTGTGGATGTCCTCCTGGGCCATGGGTGGGCTAGGACAGCCCCAGCAGCTGCCTGGGCTTTGCGTGCAAGAAGAGTTTTGCAGGCTTGACAGGGAAAATGGGCAGGAGGGAGGTTGTGCTTTGCCAAAAGTGGGTGTCTCATCCTTTGTATATTCAAGAGCTACCATGGATAGGACAGGCTGAGCCTGGACGTCACTCCGGCACGACACAAAGTGACAAACAGCCACCAAAAAGCACATTGGTCTGTGGTGGTGGACACTGGTCCTCAGAAGGGGTATCTGTGCCCCAGGCTGCTCTGCACAGACACATGCCAGAGACCATGGTGGTGCACCTGGACTGCAATATCCATGAAAGCTCTGTCCCTCCAGTGTTGGAGCAGGAGTGATGGGCTGCAGGTGATTACACCATGTCTGTACCAAAAAACAGCTTTCTGTACCAAAGCAAGTGGTTTGTCTTGGTTTTCAATGCCGCTTTTATTGAGAGTATATATATGATTTATATGTAGGGAGGGGGTTAATGGGGGATCTGCTGTGATGGTGCCAAAAACCTGGGTGTGGATGGTGGTGGTGAGGTGCATAAGCTGGAGGCATCTTAGGGGATGAGGAGGGCTCTAGATTTGGGCTGGCGATGTGGGGTGAGCTTTGCCGTTACAGGTATCATCAGAGCTACTGGGGATGAAACAGCAACCCATCAAAGTCTTGGCCCCATGGGGAGCCCCACAGAATGGACACCTACGCTGCAGAAGGTGTGAAAATGCAGGGCTGCTTAGGTTATTTTTTGGCCAGTTGTATGCTGGGAGAGGGCTTTAATGCTCAGTGGGGAGGAACAGGTAATGGAGGGCCACCTATTAATAAGAGAGCGAGCTGCTGCCCTCCTTATTAACTGATTGCCAACCTCCTGTTGACCTCCTCATTGCCACCAGCCTCCCACTAGGGGAGGTGGTTGATGAGCTGAAGGAAAAGACATGGAGCACCAGCACTGAGAGGCTTCTGCCCACTGAAGCCTGAGCCAAAGACTGGTGGAAAGCCAAGGAGGTGAAGCTCTCCAGGGGATGGTGCATCATCGCCGATGCAGCGAGCCAAGTGCCCTACTTGACCAGGAGCAGAGCCCAGTCTTCATCCAGCTTAAGGGGAGGAAGGCTGGAGCAGCCTACCCAAGAGGGTGTTCCGAACCTGGGCAACACTTGTGGAGAGCTCAGCCTCTTCTGAGGGGGAACCAGGAGAAGGGAGGGGAGCCCCAGCCTTACCTGGGGGCTAGTCAACCAGCCACGGTGGGGCAGAAGTGAGGGG